TTTCTGAAGAAGGGTCTAGGCCCGAAACGTCAGCCTTCCTGCTCCTCTGATGCTGCTTGGCCTGCTGTGTTCATCCAGCTCTACACCTTGTTATCTCAGATTCTCCAGCATCGGCAGTTCCTACTATCTCAGAGATAGATGCTATTGGTTGGAATCATAGTTAAATTCCACCATTAATTAGGTAATAGTGAAGTTGGCTTAATTTGCTTACTTGACTGGTCTTATTTTGGTTGCTACATGTGATAAAGTTTAAATAATTGTTTCAGTATTTGATTGTGAGATTTCTTAATAAGCAGCCAAATTAATGACAGCTTCTGGCAATTTACACATTCCTTAAAGAGAAAGATATCTACCTTGCAAGATTTTGCATTCTATAGGCACTAAGTCCTCGATGGTATTGTGGTGCAGTGAGAATTGTGGCTCACGGCTATCTTACTTAAAGAGCTAAGTCAGATGTAGATATCTGTCACTGTCAAACCTCATCCTCTACATGCGCAGATACACCAAAAGGTTGAGCAATAGACATTGGACCACAATTGGAAGTAGCAACCTTGGTCACCCATTCCCTCTTTCACTCCACCCTTGTCCTCCAGGAAAACTGAAGTCAGTTTTGTGCTCCATTCTATCACCAAAGAGGTCTTGTGGCACAGCTATAGTGTTCCTGCCTCAGGGTCATTAGCTCTGAGTTCAAGTACCAGGAAATAATGGCCAAGGTGTGGGTCATAACATTGCCAAGCAGGTCAGGTATCCATTTGGAAATCATTCCAACACATACCAATGACAGATGGTAAGGAGCAGGAGAAATTGCTTGGCAGCCAAATGATGAAAGAAGTTTGGAACTTCTACCATCACTATTCACAGCTCCAAGCAATAAAGGTGTACATTGCCATAGCATGTCTGATTCCTTCGGAGATAATTCACTCAGTTGGCTGGACAACTGGTGTGCATCACATTGATACTACCAACACATCTCTATAAAATCTCTGCAAGGTCTCCTCTACTGAAGGAGAACAACCCTGGTTTCTCCAATCTCTCCACGTAACATCGGATGGCATCGGGGATGTCCTTACAAGTACTGGCCTTACAGCACTATTCGGTGATGCACACTCACTGGCACAATGCATTTAAGCTCAAGTATGGATCTGCTTAAATATGCAGTGAAAGTGCACGGAAACCAGACGAGAACTGTTATATGATGACAACAAATGTGCAGACCTTCATATAATCCTGCAATGGTTAGATTTGTCACAGCAGTACGATGCAAGACAAAACACAATTCAAGATGTGAACCACAATCAATATTTTCATTAATGGTTGTATGAGATTTCTCCTCTGTGACAGAAAATAGCTTAAAATGGACTTGAGATTCCAAGAAAAACTTACCTAGAATGGCATAAATCACTGACACATCCTGTAGGATGTCACTGTTGGGAAACGATACTTTACTGCATATGAGCACAAGCAGACTCACATAGTGTTTCATAGCTGGTATTTTCTCAACATCGAGAGTCTATCAATTGAAATAAATAAATAAAGTGACAAATCTAGACTCAACAGCAATTATCATGCAAACAAGTACCATACACTCAAGATTAAAATGTTATTATATTGAAATGCACAATTGGGCAATAGTTCTCCATACTGGAATTCCTAGCCCTCTAGCAGAGTGCTCTGGGATGAAAATTATGATTACGCGTATGGTCACTTGGCGCATTATTCTTTTAAACATATCAATATCCACAGATCATAACCACTGCTCCTATTTTCTCTGACAGTGGGAGCAAGGACCAGTTCTGTTGTTGTCATTTACACCCCACCTTGGTGAAACTTCTGTTTCTTTTCTTGTCTGTTACCATTCCTTTTGTCTTGTATCTTCATCATGTTTTGTCACTGAAATCATTCTTGCCTTCCACCTTATTACTGACCATTTTCCATTGTTCTTTCTTCCACATTCCTCTTCCTGTATTTTCTTAAAGGCTGTTAAATCTCTAAATTCTTCCAGCTGTAAAACCAGGGGTGGGGTCTTTCCTTTTTGTTCAGAGTATGACGATGGGCATAAAAATGGGCATGACAGCTCCCCATCACCCCAACGCCTGGGAAAGGCCACTGGATCACGAACCTCAGGGGGTCCTCAGTGGACTTCCCACCGTGATCAATTCCCAGACAGTGATGTCCTGCCATATCTGAAGCTACTAGTCAAACAGCGGCTGGCAGTCTGAAACAGAGACAGAACACTGGAAAAGCTCAGCAGCTCCGGCGTTGGGAGAAACAGAAGTAATGTTTTGAGTCCAGTGATCCTTCTTCAAAACTGACTCCATTTCTCTCTCCACAGAAGCTGCTGGACTTGCTAAGTTTTTCCAGCATTCTCTCATGTTTGTTTCAGATTTCTAGCATCTGCAGTGTTTTGCCTTTGTTACAGGCAGGCAGTCACTTTGTCAGCGTCAGTGCCCATGGAAGAGGGGCAGAGCTGCTAGACTGGGTCTGCGGCAGGTGGTGAGGGAACCAACAAGAGGGAAAAACATACTTGACCTCATCCTTACCAATCTACCAGCTGCAGACGTATCTGTCCATGACAGTATCAGTAAGAGTGACCATTGCATAGTCCTTGTGGAGACAAAGTCCCACCTTCACATTGAGAATAACCTCCATTATGTTGTGTGGCACTATCACCATGCTAAATGGGACAGACTTCGCACAGATCTAGCAACTCAATGACTGGGCATCCATGAGGTGCTATGGGCCATTGGTTGTAGTAGAATTGTACCCTAGCACAATCTGTAACCTCATGGCCCAGCATATCCCCCACTCAACCATTACCATCAAGCCAGGGGATCAACCCTGGTTCAATGGATAATGCAGGAGGACACGCCAGGAGCAGCACTAGGCATACCTGAAGATAAGACAGCAACCTGATGAAGCTACCAAACAGGACTACTTGCACACCAAACAGCGAAAGCAGGAAGTGATAGAGCTAAGTGATCCCACAACCAACGGATCAGATCTAAGCTCTGCAGTCCTGCCACATCCAGTTGTGAATGGTGGTGGACAATTAAACAACTCCCTGGAGGAGGAGGCTCCACAAATATCCCCATCCTCAATGATGAGTGGGTCCAGAACATCAGTGCAAAGTATGCATGTTTAAACAACCTGCTTGACTGGCATTATATGCAAAAATATTCAGTAACAGCAGTGTGTCCTATTTACAAGATGCACTGCAGAAATTCACCAAAGATCCTTAGTTAGCACCTTCCAAACCCATAAACCACTTCCATCTTGGCATCCCATGGCACTTACATGGGGACATCTGCAAGTTCCCTCCAAGCCACTCACAATCCTGACTTGGAAACATCTCACCGCTCCTTCAGTGTTATTGGTTCCAAATCCTGGAATTCCTTCCCTAATGGCATTGTGGGTCAATCCATAGCAGGTGGACTATAGCAGTTCAAGAAGGCCGCTCACCAACACTTTCTCAAGGGGCAACTAGGGACGGGTAATAAATGCTGGGCCCAGCCGGTGACACCTGCACCTCACAAATATGAAAAAAAGAGTAATGGGACCAAAGCCTAATATAAGGAGCTTCATCCCTCACCTTTGGCTTGTCCTAAACACTCTCTCCGCCCTGCACACACAATAATGACATACTCAAATTCCTTGGCCATAAAATTTACAGAAAAGGTAGAGGCAAACATTAATTGTTATATATGATTTTAGACATACCTTCTGAAAAAGATCTTTCATATCGTCCCATTGACGGTAGAAAGGTGCAAGCAGGTAAGGTTCCTGGAAAGATCCCTTTGTATCCTGAATTTGATATTTATATCGCTGGAACATTCCAGTTGGGTCACTCCAAAATACATCCTTCAAATGGCAGAATTTTCCAGAACAAAGCGGTTCAGTGCTTTGAAAGAAAGTTGAGCATTTACTCCAAATTGCACAAAAGTTGTTTATTTAGCAAAAAAATACAATCTATCTCATGTTGTGTTGTTGCTTCCTACAAATGAGGTCACTGGCTAAAGCGCTCTAGAAACAAGTCACCTGATCAAAGAATCTTTCACAATCTGAGGAACTCTTTGAAATGCTGTTGTTTTGTAAACAAAAAGCATACAATATGTGCACAGCAAGTTTTCACATACTAATCAATGAGGTAATCATCTGATAATTTACTTTTGTTGAGGGACAATTATTGCCCAGGACATGGAGAACTTCCTCCAAATAGTCAATTGGGATCTTTTACATCCAGCTGTGAATTTATGGGGCTTTGATTCAAAATCATTTCTGAAAGACAGCAGCTTCAATAGTCTCTCTGTAACCCACAAGTGTGTTGGATTAGATTTTACTCTCACATTTCTGGAGCAAGGTTCAAGCCAGTATTCTTCCGACTCATTTAGACATTGCTGTAGGAGTCCCTTATACAGAAAGTGCAATGGAAGGGAATTAAAGGTGTGAGTGATTTCCCTGCTACACCTTCAATAATCCTGGGGTCTTGACATAGAATTTTCCCAGATGGCTGAGGAGAGGCTAATATTAGTTGAGAATCCATCACCCTCCCATTCACTTCCCCCTCCAGCCCCTGCAGCTGTCACCAGGGAGTAACCTATGCTGGTCACCATGGACATTTCCAAGTGGCCAATGACTGGAAGAAAGAAGACACTTGAGCACATTCTCATTGACATGATTGGGGAGAGGATGTATCAAAAAATAGAAGAGGAAAGTTCAGACACCTGTGGACCAATTAGCAAACAAAATCCAAAATGGAACGGAATGCAGTGTGAAAATTAAAGATAGCAACAGAAGCTTCATCTGATCAAAAGGCTCCATCAGAATACCAACATTTTAGCATTCTCCACATCCCACTGACAAGTTAACAAGGCACATATTGGAAAACCGATAGGGTTGTGGATACCTGGTAGGTACAAACACAGCTGGGAAATGCTTGAACAGTTCTGTCAGCTGACTCCCACTGCAGTTCCTACCCAAGTAAGCGTAAACCCTGTGTATGTGCTCTGCTGACGTCTGAAATTCTGCACCTTCCAAATCAGCAGATTCACTTGGAGGCTTCTTCACACACCACGATTTGAAGTGGTTGATCATCATGTCCACAGAAATGGAGGTCTTAATACCTGAGAAAAGTAGAGAATATTCAAGCAATCCACAGGACAGACAGCATTATTAATGGAGTAGAAGAGCATCTTGTCTCTTTTTAAAAGAAAAACATTTAGTTATAACAATGCATTTAAACAGGTCATGTAAAATTGGAAAAAACACCCAAAAAATGTTGAATACATCACGTTGAGAGAGAAAGCAGAGTTGACTTTTCAGTTCAGACCTGAAACATTAACTCTGTTTTTCTCACTAGAAATGTCACCAGAACAGATCAGAGTTTCTACCATTTTCTGTTTTTGTTTGATTTCCTGCAACCACAATATTTTTCTCTTTGTAAAGTATGGATTAGGTTAGAAAATTGAATGATTGCTGCTCTAATGAAACAAAAATGACATCAGATTATTTCTTGCAGGCCAGAAAATACAAAAATGAAATTCAGATACTGTTTGCTGATACTTCAAGAAACACAGGCCAAGTTATTAATAATAGTTTGCTGAACTGGCCCATGTGGTCCTCTATTAAAGACCAAAGTTACATGAATTTCTGCCACTACGAGACAGAACCAGAGACACGTGGATGTTGTACTGTTTGTGGAGAAAGAATGACTGTAGACTGAACCACAAGAGTGAACTCTCCCTCATACCAGGGAGGGGAGCTCTCATCTGCATCAAGTCACGATTCATGACCCAGTCCTGTAAATTACTGAGGATGTGCTGCATTGCCGAAGATGTACACTAAACACTTATGTTACGCATCCTATTTTTTTCTTTTTCTCCCCATGGGATGTCTTTGGTCAGTTCAGCATTTGTTGCACATCTCTAACTGCCCTTGAGTTGAGTGGCTTGCTCAGGCCATTTCAGAGGGCTGTACACAGGCAAGGACATAGACACCAAACCATGTTAGGGCAGAAGACTTCCTTCCCTGAAAGGTTTAACAATACATGGACAATGGCTGTCGCTGTCACCATCAGAGACTTAGCTTTACACTGGAGGTGTTTATTAATTGAATTTAAATGCCACTGGCTGCCATGATAGGTTTTTAAACTAGAGTCTCCAGGATATTAATCTTGTCCTCTGGATGATTAGTCTAGTGACAGCACCATATTGCCAAAGATTCAAATGTCAAGAGATTGTAACGATTCCCCAATAAATGTATTGGTATTTTAAGGCTGCTTTCAGGTTAGATGTGTATGAAATGAGTTTAGTTATCAGCACATTTAAAAAGATGGTCAGACTATGCCTGATGGATATTACTCCATCTTCATTTGGGAAGGTTCTGACTGGGACTTTTCGTTACAAGAGGATAAGTCACAGCACCAGTAATCCTGTTGCAACATCAGTTAAGGAATCCCATTTGCTTCATGACACCATTCCCGTTTTACCATTGTTAAAGATGCCGGACTATGGGAGATGCAGCTCGTGGAATCAGTCGGAAATGCCAGAAATCCAATCCCACATAATCCCACCATTAACACAAAAGTGTACTTTCCAACAAGAATACTGAACAACGATCAGGGACTTGAACTTTGGCTGTCTTTCTGCTAATACCCCAGCTGAGGTCATCTAACACAGGTCAGGAATTGTAGCTGACAGCTTTCAGTTTGCACCAATCAGTTACACACTAACCAATCAGCAAAGCCTGACCACAATGCCTTTTCAAAAATTCTAAATGATCAGCTAAAGGTTTCCCATTTGTACTCACCAGCGAAAGCAGCAAAAGTGCTCTGTTCAAGCAGATCACAACATACATAGCTGACACGGTTGGCTAATAGTTCCTTTAAATTGCTTGAACTCAGGTATACCTCACTAGGACGTAGATATGCTGTACAAGATCCTGAACCATTCTCAGCTGGGCTGGCAGTTGGTAACCATGACAGAGTTGTAAGATAAATTGCAAAAGAAGAATGAATTTCGTTCTTTAGGATTTTATCCTGGCTGTCAACGAGTCTAGCTGTGCAATACTGAGAGAATCTGCAACTGGAATGGAGAATTAACAGAAGTTAATTTTGAGAATATTGAAAATACTTCATTGTTCAAGCCAGGCACCTTTCTGCACCAGCAGTAATTACATTTAGCTGAAGGAAAATCATTATGAATGTATTCAAGAGGTGACTAGATATAGCACTTGGGGTGAATGGGATCAAAGGTTATGGGGAGAAAGCAGGATTAGGCTATTGAGTTGGATGATCAGCCATGATCATGTAGAATGGCAGAGCAGACTCGAAGGGCTGAATGGCCTCCTCCTGCTCCTATCTTCTATTTTTCTATGCAACAGCCTGACTATTAATTCAGTCTTTCCATGAAACCATAAGGAAGATCACAAAGACTTCACAGTGCAACAGATGATAAAATTCTCACTACATATTCCTAGTGAATGTTCATATTTGTCAACTTAGTTCATAATAAGTTGTTACATGAACAGATAAGGAAAATATTTTCAATGTATTTATGGGGAAGCTAGATCAATGCATGAGAGGAAAGGAAGGGAAGGTTAGATGGGATTAGATTAAAAGGAGCGTAAGAAGGTATATGGCCTATTTCAGTGCCTCAGGCTCAATGTAGTGATGTATCATATGAGTTAATTTACAAATTATCTCTGATTTTGGCATAAAAATGAAAATCCAGTTAGCACACAGTTAGTTACTTTCCACAGCATCAGGAGGAGCTGTGTTCTTTGCTTGTGATTCTCTAATGCAGGAAGTGACTGGTTCTAATCAGGCATTGAGGAGATGGAGTTCCTGAAGGGGCGTGACACAATTTGAATTGCCATTTTGCACCTCCCCACCTCAACTGGAAACAGGTTGTTTGCTCAAAACCCTACAACCTTGAGCAGCTGAAAGAAAGGGTAAAAGAAGGATGAGAAAAAGAGGAGAAAGAGGAAGCAAACATTGGAGAAGGAGGAAAGAGGTAAACTTTAAAAAAAAATCTAAATTTGACATAAATATTGAGTGACTGCAACAACACACAATTAACTTACCCAGAGTCCCAGTTTCTGTCAAAGAGTTTGAGCAGGTTAATCCTCTGTTGGAATTTCATCTGATCAGGCAGAGCTTCTGTAGTCAAGAGGCTGTGAAGCTCCTGACAGACATAATCTTCCACCATGTATGTATTATCTGCTGTGTTGGGCCACAAATCACAGACATGTGCCCATGGGCTAGATGCCTACAAATATTTCAAAGAAAAGAAAACAAAAATTACTTAAGCTGGAAATTTCTAAAATCTGTCAACAAAACCCAACTTTAGCTTGCATTGTGATAACAGTCCATTTTTCCAGCTCTTTATTCCAGAGATACTAAGGCCTCCTACCTATTAGTGCTACTGTTTAGGGGCCAGGACTGGGACCAACCAGTCAATATATCACTAAGAAACAGCTTTACTGACTCAGTCATCAAGGGAGAGCTGACAGAAGACTGCAAGGGGGAAGTGACTCACAAACTGCTGCAGGGTTAGTGCAAAACGGACTGCGTGGGGCGAAGAGAAGTGGGAGGTGGTTTGTGTGGAGCTGAAACACTCACAGATCAGATGGGCTGAACAGCCTGTTTCTGGGCTGTTAAGTACACACTGTGTACGTAAACGCAATCAAATTCGGGTATGTACCGCAAGTAAAATGATAATAAGATTAATAATTAGTTTAACTAACCAGTTCCTGTTTTGTGAAAGTGCATTTTTTCTTTTGAAAAACAAACAAATCCTGAACACCAAGGGAGCTGAAAAACGTCCTCCATCCTTCAGAATCATTATCAGTCTGCAGGTAGCATGAGTCCAATAGTACCCAGTCAACACCTGCACGTGCAAAAGTATAATTACAACTCATCGTGGACACAGAAGGGCTTTATCAGCACTTGTCACCACCCAGCACACTGTACAGATTTTGACTAATATGTTCCAAGAGATATGTGCCCTATCGGAATTCCATCATAACCACCAGCAAGATGGGCAGGTAGTATCAGCATTGTCAGATACCGGCCACAAGGAAGCACCAAGCACCTCTCTACACTGGGAACAGGAGAGGAAGTTATTCCATCTCTGAGTTGCTGATCACAGACGACCACCAGCATGGATCACCTGTCTGTCCCCTCTGGGCATACCAGAGGTAGTAAACAGACCACACAGAGGAGGGAGAAACGCATGGATTGTCTGAAAGACTCATTTATAATGCACTCAGTGATAAATTCAACACATCAAATTCGCTGTTAATCAATCACAGAATATAGAATTTAGTTTATTATTCTATCTGACAGTTCAGAATTAGCCTTGTGTAATGCTACTTATTTGCTGTAACACATCCCAGTATCTAATATCCATCCATTGCCCCCATTTCCACATCCCCAAGTTTGTTTTTTTACCTGGAAGATCCACCGGTAAATTAATGGTATTCTTGTAGTTACATGTAAAGTTGACATTAACATGTAATGGACAGACAAAGCCCTTATTAGTAAGCACTGGAATGTATGGTCTAAACTGCTGTAGCTCATTATCCTGGCAATGCACCTTGAGGAAGATGCTGTAGCTGACCACAATACCTTGAGACTTCTCCTGGGAAGAGACAATGATAGAGAGGGGAGGAGAAACAAATACATAATGTGAACAAATGTGACTGTATAATCTGGAGGTTATAACCAACACCAGGTTTTGGGCCAAAAAACCCAAAATGACATCCACCCGTTTCAGTAAAGTTACACGCTGAATGAAGATATCCCTCATGCCCCTACGACCAATCATAAACCACATTACTGTCATGACATAGAATGCTTTCAAGATTATAAAAACAACTTATATTCAGCACATTCAGGTAATAATGCATCACTTCACAAAGCAGTTTAAGGAGGGAATCCCAAAGCCATAACCACCAATATGATCACAATCAGGAATCCTCAAAAGGCCAGATCTGGAGGAGCAGAGATCTCAGAGGGTTGTGGGGCTGGAGGGGATTACAGAGTTAGGGAGTGGTAAGATCTTAGATTAATGTGGACTAAGGACAGTAATTTTAAAATGGAGGTGTTGCTTAGGGCTTCAAAATAGGTCAACAAGGTTTGGATACAGGCATCAAAATCTTTTGTAGAGCATGAGTTTCTGGGAGGCTGATCATGGCTGTAATTGAATAGTCAAGACCACAGAGGTATCAAAGGCCTGGATGTAAGTGCCCTGAGACAGGGCAGACTCGGATCATATCATAGATGTGGAATTAGCCAGTCTTGGTGGTGAGACAGCATGTGGCCAGAATCTTATCGTGGAGTCAAACACAACACCTAGTGTGTAAAGCTCTTTCAGCTTCACAGAATTGCTAGGGACTGAGCTCATAGTGTGACAGAAGACAATGGTTAGCACTACTGCCTCACAGCGCCAAGGACCCGGGTTCAATTCCAGCCTTGGGTCACTGTCTGTGTAGTGTTTGCATGTTCTCCCTGTGTCTGCATGGGGTTCCTCCGGGTGCTCTGGTTTCTTCCCACAGTCCAAAGATGTGCATGTTGGCTGTGCTAAATTGCCTATTTTTTTCCAGGGATGTGCAGGCTAGGTGGATTAGTTATGGTAAATGCGGGGTTATGGGGATAGGGTGGCAATGCTAGGTCTGGATGGGATGCTTTTTGGAGGGTCAGTGCAGACTCCATCGGTGAATGGCCTCTTTCTGCACTGTCGGGATTCTATGTCAATGACTTCAGTCTTTTTAATATTTAGCCATGTATATTTCTGTTCATCCAGTAGCAGATGTGGACGAGGAATCTGACAAAAACAAAAGAGACGGTGAAGGCATCGAGAGAATGGTGTTGAGGTACAGGCTGGAGTCATCAATGTACACGAGGAATCTGATGTGGGTTTGGGGGAGAAGCCTGGAGGAAGATAGTGTGTCAAAGGCTGTGGACATGCCTAGCAGAACTCGGAGTGATAGTTTACCCCAATTAAACAGGTAGGCTGAGATTTGGAACTTTGCCATAAACAGTTTCAAAACCATGACACGAGCAAAAACTTGACTGTAAGGATTCAAAACTGGAATTCTGGGCAAGAGGCAATAGCAATATCAAAGATTTTGGAGAGGAAAATGAGATAAAGATGGATTGGTGGCTTCAGTGTAAAAAGTGGAAGCTTTTTTGGGATCCTTATTTTTAAATTACATATTTAGGGCAGCATGGTGGCTCATTGGTTAGCACTGCTGCCTTACAGCACCAGGGACCCGGGTTTGATTCTCGTCTCAGGTGACTGTCTGTGTGGAGTTTCTGCCGGGGGCTCTGGTTTCCTCCCACAGGCCAAAGGTATGCAGGATAGGTGGATTGGCCATGCTAAATTACCCGTAGTGTCCAGGGATGTGTAGGCTAGGTGGGTTAGCCATGGGACATGTAGGGTTATAGGGATAGGTTAGTGAGTGGGATGCTCTTCAGAGGAGTGGTGTGGACTTGATGGGTTGAATGGTCTATTCCCACACTGTAGAATTCTATATTCAGTGATGAAAATATGACTTGCACAGCAGACACCTTTGCACTAAATGTGACAGTGTTGAATATGAAAAGTTTACCTTCCATTTTTGCTCCTTTAAGGTGGGTAGAATGTACTCGAACATGACTTTCTCTGGTTTAAGATAATAAACGTCCATCCTTTCCAGAAGTTTGCGAACCTGGGAGTTACTCAGATTGTCCAGGCAGGTAAGCACATTGGGGTGGACAGTCTTTAGATCCCGATATAGTTCCTGAATACCTGATTAGAAAAGCAGATAGCTATGATTATGATCAGTTTCAAACTGCAGATCATCTCAAAAGGCAAAAATGCAGTAATGCAGAGAAGGCAGGATCGGTGACTCTAAACTTACAACTCAACCTAACTTTAGAAGTTGCTTCCAAGTTTAAATGTATTCTAAGCCTGGGAAAACAGAATTTAGTATTCTCAGTTTGGTAGCTCTGGGGCTGTAATAATGATAGCACTGTACGAGCTTTACTTTCAAGGACTAGTCATCCTTTAGAGCAGGAACAGACATATTGGTACAGGAAGAAGCAGATTGACAGCCAATGAATTCCAAAATACACCTCAGCCACCTTTTATGAGGATAGGTAATCTGCTGGTGAGCTGATGGCAAGGGCATTAATGTGAGCAGCCAGGCCAACAGAACATGGTCTGTATTTATCAGACACAGTTTCAAGTACTGCAGCAGAACAGTGATGCTCAGGTTTAGCAGGAAGGGGACAAGAACAACAACGAACCTTTTACTGCCTTCTGTGCCTTGCATTAAACAGGTAACAGACAGGGCTCACTCATCAAACCATTCTGGAGGCTTTTGCCATTGGGGAGGGCATTGAGGGAAAGTGCAGACAGCAGCAGAACATTACCTTGATAAAACACAGCTCTCTCAAACAATACTGCATTAAGCCATGTCTTGGCATTAGATCTTTAATATGGAACAACAAAAGTCATCCTTTACCTCGCCCACGGTTTACAAATTGTTCATTCTCTTCATCATAGAGGGGGAAAAATATGGCTTGACCTTTCAGTGATACCATACTTCCATCAGCAAGAGGAATGATTGGAACTGATTTCAGATCATCCAAGAGCTGATCTGTATTTCCATATTCTTGATCGAGGCTGCGATAGTTACACACCAGTAATTTTGCAATCTTTTTCATGTCATCATCTGATCAAGAAATTGTAAAAAAAAGTTAAAATCTGAACTAAAATCAAAGTCAAGATTTTAAACTCTCCCATCGTCCCTCCCAAAATCTTACTTCATCCCACATCACGGATAAAGAGAACACTAGCTTTATATTGAGCTACTTCTAAACTTCATAATTCTTCATCTTTGAATTTCACACAACCTTGAAGCTAAGGAGCTTCTTAAGTTCCCAATGAAATTTATTTTCCTCAAGAAATAGCCATAAGTTAAGTCCATTTAGATTTTCTGAACAGTGCTTCTTGAATTTGAAAGCTTGTTGGTGGTCTGCATTATGAGTCTCGGCTTTTCACATTGGGAAGAGACTACAGGACTTGGTGTCTGATTAGATTTGTACAGCTGACATGAATCGGCTAACTAAATACCACAGGCATGGATAAAGTACCAGTCAAGGCCACAGTGAGACCTTTGGGTCCAAGTACTTTGTGTTTTTCTTTAAAAACCTGGCATTTTTTGTAAAAAGTACAAATTTCCACAAGTTATAAAACTATAGCATCATTGTATTATTTGTGGTTAGTAATAGGATTTCCTCAAGTCAGTTCAGCACCTCCAGGATTATCAAAGCTGATAAAGATTCCACATTTCTCTTTGTTCCTTGACTGGGTGTCAGTGACAAAGCCAGCATGTATTTCCCCATTCCTAACTGCCCTTCAGCTCAGAGGGCAGTTATGAGTCAACTACACTGCTGTGGGTCTCCAGTCACATTACGGCCAGGGCTGATAAGGGCAGCAGATGTCCTTCCCCAGATCGATATTAATGAACCAGATGGCTTTAACAGTATGATGGCACCACTACTGAGACTAGCTTTACATTCCACATTTACTTCAGGGGAATTTGTTTTTTTTCCTTTAGAAAATGAAGGGGCTGGCTGAACATCCCTTCCACCATTGGCTGCAGACCAGTTGCAATGTGTATGTGAAAGTTTGGAAAGGTACCTGGGGTGAATGCCACAAATTCTGCTGGTAAACTGAAGGCAACCTGAAAATGTCAGTAATTCACCACCACGCTGTGATTTGCTAGTTGATGGTTAATGTTGTTTTGGAGCTGCAACTTCTGAACAACTTAAAAATCTACAGTAACTGAAAAAAGGACAACTTTATTACCATTAAAAGCAGAACTGGTCTCTATAACTTCCTTTGCAATGGCTTTGGTGACTGCAATAATATCGGTGCTGCTGAGTTTGTGTATCCCCAGGGCAGAAACCATGGCAGGATTAAGTGCAGACTGTACCACTGGGCTCAGGTAAGCCAGATTCAGGTGTTTCTGAAGGCGCTCTGGGGTGATTACTTCTTGTACTAAGGTATCATGTGTTATAGCCATCTGGGAAGGTAATCTGTATTCAGTCCTGCCATCTGCAACAACAAAAATGGAGACAGGATTAACTTAACAACTATAGAGAGTGGCATGCAACCAGTCACTAATTCCCCAAACAATGTAATGTTTGTCATAAACACTTTTGTATAGGTTTACCAGTGGCGTTTTGTGTCTACCCATTAAGCATTGGCAATTCATATCAGATTTGAAGGCAGTTCCTTCATTAACAATATTAAATCAACAGGGAATGGATTAATCAGGGAACAACAATGGATTTCCTGTTGACTGTAAGAATGAAAGTTGTTTACAAATGTTTCCATTTTGCAGTTATCCAGGACAGGAGGGTGGGAGGGAAACAGGAGAGTGGAGGATTGGAGAAAGAAATGGCTTCCATCAGCTGC